CCAGAGACAGGTTTCCTGTTAGGCACAGACAAAGGAGAGATTAGAATCTGATCTCCACACTAGAGACAAACAAGATTCAATCTATAACAGAGGCTCAGGTAGCTAACCAACTAAGATCAAAACTGCCTCGTGGAAGCAAGGTCTGGCAGGAGCTTATAAAGGGGAGGTCTTCTGATGAGTAGATGGAAATCAGGTGTGCTGGAAGGTTCTAGCTCCAGAAGACCTACGGCGCACTCTGCTGGAGACAGAGGGTAATCTCCAGATACCCACGGTAACTCCAGCCCTAAGGGAAAATAGCAAAGAGCAGAAGGGGATCCTCGGCGCCCTCTGGTGGGCAAGCCTGAGGATCCCAACAAGCTTCCCTCCGACATGCCAGCAAACTTTCACCCACCTCCACCCCATCTCCTCCCTGACTCCCAGGCTATTCTCATTCCCACTCTTCTTCCAGCTTATTTCAACACTATTGTTTGGGCCCAGCGGGGAAGGGTACACTCCTTTTCTTAGGTTACTCATCCAAATGCATGTCGAATCACAGCATTAAAGTCTTCTGCCGGGGCCTGAGTGCCAAAGAACTTATTTCATTCCTGTCAATCAAACTTTACTAATCGCAGTTTTTCTCTGTATGAGTCTCTCCAGGTTTAATTTGTACCATTCTTCTATTGCTGCCTTGTTCAGCACTGAGTAGAAGCCATTATTTTTTGTAAGACCTATTTTTGGATTGCATCTTAAGCCACACCCATTATCAGTTGTTCAGTCTATGAGGTCAAGTTAATCTACCATAAGTAACACCAGAAACAATTTTGTAAATAACAATTTCAGTTGCTTTTTTGTTTTCATGATAAGAGATTTTTCATTTTAGGTAAGGTAAAATTAATGTTTTCAAGATATATTGCAAAACCCATCTAAAAATAAGTGTACATTTCTTAAAATACCGTAAGTGTTTTTACCCTTAATTTGAGTAGGTACATAAGATGATCTGCCAATGGAATGAGTAGTTTTACTCTCGAAATAAGATAATCAGATATTATGTGCCTGAAATAAGACAATGCAGTTTTTTTTTTGTTATTTTCAATGTAGATTTCTTTGGCGAAGTGTCTCACTTACCTGCTTAATTCAAGAAAAAATTTACTTATTTTAAGAAACATTGATTTACTTAGTTTTCAAATTTGTAGTGAGATTTTGTTTAAACTCCAGTGCAGAGCCACAGGTGGCTTTTTGGTTCCCTTAATATATTTTACATTTTAGCTTTTCAGTCTTTTTTTTGTTTTTGTTTCATGCTTATTTTGTGCCTCCATGAAAAAACTCTGAGCCCCCTGAGTAGATTTGGTTCCAGAACTGCAACTGCACGCCAGGTATTTATTGTGTTGTTTAGCAAACTTATAAGCAGACCTCCTCAGAGTTCTTTATTTTCCAAGCTGGTTCCATATGTTGCACTCCATGACATGTTCATTTATCTCCATAAGTGAGCCGGCTGAGCACCGAATGAATGATTCAGCAGCTGAATCTATTCTAAATCCGACACCTCTTTGTGTTAAAGAAACACTTTTAAGAACCAAAGTTTCACCATTTAATATAGATCAAACCCAGTGGAAAAAGGGGCAAGTTTATTGTACTGGCTGACCTGTTTTATTATGTTGCTCTGTCTGGGACTCAGGTAATCCATCCCAGCCCACCTCTCTCCATTACATGAGCCCCTACCAACTGAATGACTACGCCATGGCGCTGCGGGCCATCGGAGAGATCATTCAGGACTATGACAGCGACAAGATGTTTCCAGCTCTGGGCTTCGGTGCCAAGCTCCCCCCAGATGGACGTGTCTCCCACGAGTTTCCCCTGGTGAGTTCTTGTATATTAAACATCCATCCTGAACTGGCCGGGTCTAGATTCAATTCAGTTTATTTCTATAGTCCCGATTCCCCCTGCATGTCCTCTTAAGGCACCGTACACAGACAGTTCAGTCAGATTGGTTCAAAGTTTTCTAATGAAAATGAGCTGATTGTATCAACTTAATGACTTTTCATGATTCTGTCATCTTGGATAAGCATGTGACAACAGTAGACATTATGTCATTGACTCTGCAGCAATCCCTAACACCGATCATGCATGTAGTGACAGTGGAGAGGAAAAACTCATGGGTCTTTAACAGAAAAAAGAGCCAAAACAAATAGGTAGATACATTGCGGACATCATTGTGCTACTATAAAGTGGCCCTCTATGAGCTTTGACCTAAATCCTATTTAGCATCTTTGGAAGGAGCCGAAACAGGCTGTTAGCCAAAATACCCGCTGAGATGAGATGTCAGTCAATAATAGGCAGTTTTCTTTCTCAGGCTTGAGTGACAAAATTTGACATCAGCATGTAGAAATGGGTCCATATGCAAGTAGGACAAAAATCTAGCTACAAGCGTAGAAAAGTACTCATGCTTGTGTTATATAAGGGGGCTCATGGTATTGAATCTGCACTCATATTTAAAATGTGCAAAGAGACAAGTTAACATGCAGGGGTTTAATAAACCAGCTCGTATCAGTACTTATTAAGTGTGTGTACCTTTGGCATATTTAAAACTTCATAAGTATATATTGAACCAATCTGACTTTATAATCTGGTTAACCTGTTGAGGTAAAATGTCTTGAGATGATGTCTGGTGTATTGGCACTATATAAATAAACTGAATTGAATTGAATATAGGAGGACCCAAATACAGGACGAACTAGGGGAAAATTAGTTTAAAAGTAACTTAAAGAAAACCAAATGAAGGACACAGAAATGGGGGTAAGTAAATTGAATTTTCCACTAAGGATATGTTAAATAAAACTGCTTAAATCCTGGAGAAAAAAGAAAATCAGGCAGATGAGGCAATCCAAAGAGAAGTGGAAATAGCTGAGACAGTGTAGGGCTGGGAGGAAAAAGGGTGAAAAAACCTAACTTAATGCAAAAATAAGCACAGGAAACAGATTACCAACTGAGGCTTAAAGCAGCAACAGTAGAAAATAAAGTAAATAAACTTCTGACAATAACAAATAAGGATAATGACTAATATGGCACTTAAGAACTTAAAAACCATTAGACAACAGGAAAATATTGGAAAACAAGAAGGTAGAATGGGAACATTAACCAAAAATCGAGCTATGGATTGTGACAACATGAAACTTGAAGGTATTTTGTGACGCTACAACTGTGTTCAAGTATCCTGTGTTTTGGTTGTTGGTGTAATATTATGTATAATATTAAAAAAAATCTATGGAGAAACTTTCACATTTTGTGCTGTTAATACAAAACTATAAATTTCCACCAATGTTTGAGTCCTTTATTCATCCACATGGCATTTTTAACCCTAACTCCAACAATCAGTCCGACATGATGGCAAAGTAGAGAATCTGTTTAGTCTGACAATCTTCCATAGTTATCTATCCTGTCTCTCCAGGTGTCCTACTCCTCCTGAGCTCTATACGTCTCCATCGTTGTTTTCCTCTCACCTCCAGATGTTTTTTCCAGAACATCTGCAGCTGTTACAGCAGTTCTGCATTGGGTAGCAGCATAGCCCAGGGCGGTGAACCTTGAGTCGAGACTCAGAATCATTATTCCTAGCGTTAAGGATTCAACTTGCAGCTGTTAAACAGTGGTAGAAACAGGCTACCGCTGAAAGTCGCAGAATTATACAAGCTCCATTTAAAAAGCCAAGGATTCCACGTGCAGCTGTTATCATGGGAAGCAAAGCAAAGTTAACAATTCTTTCTAACTGAGTTTTGTTGCTCTTCATTATGTTTTTGCTTTGAAACTTTCCCTTTATAGCATGGATAATATGACCATGATGATCCTCAGTTTTTGTCTTTGGGCATGGACGAAATAACACATCGATACCATCTTTTATTTAAAAAAAATAAACAGTATGATATAGGCACCAGCACCCTTCGCGACCTCGCTTGGGAAAAGCGTGATGGAAAATAGATGGATTAAAAAAAAAAAAAAAAATCATAAAATATTAGAGGTGTCAGGTAGCTAAATATAAATACCTCTTACCAGACTTTAATTATTTATTTTTTTATTGTAGCTTTACTTGAGTATTTATATTTCTGAGGACTTTTTGCAGCTGAAAATTGATCTAAATGTTGGAAAAACAATAAATCATCACACGCATCACAACAGTATACATGGAAAAAGGTTAAAAGAGCCAAACAGAAGCCATTTGCTGTGTCAGTAGGTCCTGTGTGGAAATGAAAACCAAATGTATTAGACCAACACAGAGGGAGATCACCTCTAACCTCTGTAGCCTTACAAAGTCCTCTGTTTGGAGGGTCGTATGAGGTTGTTATAATTAGGGAAAATTTCATTTCTTAATCGAACAGCTCTCAGATTCATTGAGGCTGTTTCAAAGTACATTTTGTTTTTGTGCTTCTGTGCAGAACGGTAATCCACAGAACCCATACTGCAAAGGAATTGATGGGGTAATGGAGGCCTACTACCAGAGCCTGAAGAGCGTACGCCTGTATGGACCCACCCACTTCTCCCCTGTCATTAATCATGTGGCCAGGTAGGTCAACTGAAACTACAACTGAACACCTGCAAAAATCAGTCCAGGATCCCCTCAAAATTTTGACTTTAGCAGGGGAAAAAATCTATTAGATCAGTCAGCTTTGGTGGATTTGATGTCAGCTGTTCGTTGTTAAAATGGGGTTTTGTGATTAAAATGAATGTGCAGATAGCTCAGGCAGAGAAATCAATACCTTGCTGTAGGAGTGCAGTAAGGAAACACACAGTAATTAGGTTTGTGTTTTCCAATGACTGATCTGCTGCATTCAGGAGTAGAAAGAAAGAAATGTTCAAACATAGCTCAGAGAAACTGTAAATGTCGCACTTTATGACTTCATTCTGTTTAATGTTCAGCCTATAGGTCCATCTGGAGCATTTGAAGAAGGATCTGCCTTTTTGTACTCTTTATTATTTAAAGCAAATACCATACTAAATGAAACTAAATTACTCTGTCAGTAGCTTTTCTCTAATTTACAGATACAGTCATGGGAAAAAATGAAACATGTTCTTACAGTTTCAGGGTTTATACATCAGGACATAATCTAAGTTTAGTTTTTGTATTGTTTTCTAAAAATCAAAACAATAGTATTATACAAGAATACACATTGTCTTTATTTATTCAACAAATATAGAGCAGAAATAGAAAACCCAAAGTCACTGTTTCCATAGGAATGAAGAAAGTAGATGTCTGCTGCCCCAGTGTATAAGGCGTATGTTAACACAACACCATAAGGAAGATACTGCAGATACATTTCTGCATTGGATTAGATCACAGTTCCTCAACCTTTTAGCCCATGACACCCAGTGTTACAGATTGGTGAACTGCTAAAGATACATAGAATTACTTAGCTCTTTAAATCTACATATATATATATATATATATATATATATATATATATATATATATATATATATATATATAGTATATAAACATGTGGAAATGTTCTGTCAAACTGTTGCAACTGTTGACATCCATGTTGGTTCATTGTTTATGAGCAAAGTACTTTCATTTGTCTGGGATAGTTTATTTACAAAAAGAAATCAAAGTCATAAATGAAGTTATCATTTAGTGAGTTTTCATTTCATTTTCTAATTGAATTACTGTAATATATGAGTGAATATGAATCCAAGCATTAAATCAACTTTAAATCTAAAATGTAATATCAAATTTTTTTTTCAATATATTTTTATTTGATACATTTATTTAAATAATGGGACATTCTCGTTTAGGTATTTCATGAAACAGTTTCGCCCTCCATTTTTCTCAAGGGTCACTTCACATGCCATTGTTTCGCGGTCCTACGTGTCCAGTTGGGTGGGGGTTTGAGAGGAGGACCCAACTGCAGACTGAAGCTGAAGGTGGTTACTTGCAGATTTAATATCCGAAAAGTTTAACAGAATAAAACTGTCACGATTTGGTGGTGTTGGTAGAGGACCCAAATGCAGAAAGACTGTGACAAAAACATCCACAAAACAAATCCTTAGAATTCACAAAAATATTGAAAACCAGAAAACTCACTTGCAGGGGAAGAAATGATGATGAACCATCAAACAGTGACTGAGCAGGAGGTGTATATATGGGAGACAGAAACAAAGACCAGGCTAATCAGCAGATTGTGAGCAGGTGTGGACAGAGGAATCTAGAAGGGAGCTAAAAGGAGACTGACACAAGAGGGCAACAGAGAGTAAACAAGAAATACCTGAGAGCTCAAATACAAATGAAAAAAAAAACACAAAATATAAATAAAACAATGAAAACTAAAAGAAAAAACTTAAACAGACCCTAAACCATGATACTACAGGGGTCCTGACCCCTACTTTGAGAACCCCCAAATTAGATTATTTATGGAAAGTATTTCTCTCTAGACTAAATCAGAAGAGGACACCAACGACGGGATTTTTGTCACAACATGTTTAGCCTTTCAAAACCCACCGATTTAATCAATGGATAATTTCATGCTTAATGGATTAATTTAAAGAGAGATACTTTTAGTAAACGAATAATAAACAGATTTGAACATTTATTTTACATGTTATAAATGAACTGTGAATTACAAAAACAAGTAAAAGAAAACCCAATTCTATTCTCAGAAAAGTTATTCAAAAAAGGTCTTTATATCTTAACTCATGCATTCAACTAAAGATTCATGTGTTAAATATGTCTTATATGTGTTACTTGATAGAAATATTTTTGTTTTTGTAACAAGCAAAGCCAAAACTACACCACTAGAAGATCTCTGGATAAAGCAGATTTACAAACAAAGATTTTTATTTAAAAAAAAAAACAACAACAAATTATTATATTGGTAGTTTTGGCTTGAAAAATACATCCACAGAACATCTAGTGGTGCACAATAGAGTATTACTTTAGCTAAAAATAAAGTATATAAGTTATTGTTTCATATATTTGACAGGTTAAAATATATAAATATTTACTTCTGGTGCCAAAGTGGACACCAATAAAAGTAGAAGGTTGAAGTCACATGAGACGGAGCTCAGATGTGGCCAAATCCTAGCTCCTTGACTGGTCTGACATTTCTCAGATTCAAGCCACAAAAACAAAAAAGAAACAAAACGATGGTGAACAAAGCAAAGGGGCTCAGAGGGTATGCTGTGTTTGCTGCCGTCTTTTGGAACTACTGAACTTCAAGTAAGTTAGAGGTTTTTAGCATTAGTAACCAGCTGACACAACAGTACACAACAAGATTGGCTTAGCACAAGGGCACCACTTACTGGCCAGGAGGAGTTTAACTGGTAGGTATCACCATTAATTTTATATCTGTAAACATGCTATGGATTCAGAAATTACATTTTCTAGAATCTGTACTCTCCAGTTAACTCCAGGTTTGATTCCTTGAGCAAATTAGTTGACAATAATTTTCATAATCTATTAATTCAACCAGCCGTTTAACCCTCATCTAAAGCTAAACCTGATTGATGATCTGTGGCTTTGTTGCCTGTAGACTTAGAGAAATTAGCAGAAACAAATATCTAATAACTTCCCAACTCTGAAGCAGCCTGCTGAATCAGGGGGTGTACATAGACACCATGTTTGTTTAATTAGAATAAAATTCAATTCAGTTTATTTATATACTTTGAATCCATTTGACTGGATGATTTGGTTGAACTGTAAAAGGCCTTGAGATGACTTGTGTTGTGAATTGGCGCTATATAAATAAACTGAATTTAATTGAAATATAGCGCCAACTCACGACACAAGTCATCTCAAGGCACTTTACAGTTCAACCAGACCATACAGTCAAATGGATTCAAAGTTTTTTATTTAAGGAAAACCAGTTGATTGCATCGACTCATTGACTTTAATGCAATCCCTCACATTAAGCATGCTTTTAGCGACAGTGGACAGGAAAAACTCCCTTTTAACAGGAATAAACCTCCAGCAGAACCAGGCTCAGTGTGAGCGGCCTCTGCCGAGGCAGACTGGGGTTCAAGGAGACAGAAGCAGAGATACAAAAAGCAACTCTAAAAGGCGGCTCCAACCAGGAAACACACAGCCAGGCAGACGAGCTCTGAGCCAGCTCCCATGTCAGAGGATGAAGAGAGCACATCCAGCCAGTCACAGTCAGAGAAACAGGACCACACTGGAAAACAGGCCGATCTCCAACATCGATAAACAAAGATGGTGATGGCGGCAGCACAGCTGATATTTCTCTCCAGGATGGAGTTACAGCCAAACAGGAACAGACGAGGCAACGCTACTATGAGAAAACGCAGCGGGAGCATAATGTTAGATATTGAACTAACAGATTCTGCAGAGTGGGAGAATAGAGATAGAATGATGCAGAATGATGAAATAGGGGTCCTTTTGTCCTCCAGAAGTCTAAGCCTATAGCAGCATAACTATAGAGATAGCTCAGGATGTGTCTTTAGAAATGTGTAATCTGTTGTGTTTTGACACATTTGACAATGCATTTCAACCATTTCAGGTGCTAGTAAAAGCCAGTTCATTTTCTTGGGTCCTGATAGGTAAAAGCCAAGATTTAAAACAGAGGTTGTGTTCCTGTTTTTTTTATTTTATTTTTTTTACCATGACTGAAAGGCAACTGAATGAAATAAAGTTCTGGGTCTGTTTGAAACCACAGCTTCTTTCAACTCCCACCTGATGTCTCCTGCTGCCAGATCTTGTCTCATGGTCCCCAAGACTGACTGTAACAAGCACTTTTCCCACCTTTCATCATTGGCTTTCAAATCCCATCTTTCTCCGCGATGCTCCGTCCACCCCCTCAAGCCTCAGAATAGCTGCATTGTTCCACGCTCGCTTCTGCCACGGAGCATCTGACTGAAAAGCTAAAAGGCGCCGGCCAAAGACGTGACATCATGTCACGTCAAATTGCTGAGTCTGTGGCATCAGAGTGCTACTAAACTGCAAAACATTGTCCTGCTCAATCACCTCAGATGTTTAGCCTCAGCGTATGTACCAGACAACCCGCTTTGTTTCGTTGTGGAGCTAAATAAATGAAGACTCAACCCTAATTTACAATGCTATGTGTCTTTTTGATCATAAGTGGTGCTGCTCTCCAATGTTTTATTCATTTCATAACTTGCCTTGTGCATCTTTTATGGCACTGAAATGTTTGTGGTTTTGCAGTAGCATTCAGAACTGTCACCAACTCTTGCATAAGATACATAGAAAATATGAAAGGTGTTGTAGTTGAAATTTAAGTTACTAACAGCTTTACTTGAGGATATGTGTGAACCACTTGACAGCAGTCTGCTGTCCAGTTAGAATTTAAGTGACTTTATTTTCAGCTTCCTCTGGTAATGAACAAGATCATTGTTCACAACCAGAGAAATAAGCTGAATCGCCTACCTCCACAGCAACAACAAGAATGTCAGCAAATGTAAAAAAAATATCACAAATATTTCATAATCTTCTTTTCTTACTTTATATTTCATTTAATCAGCTGGCAGCATATGCATTTGTTATTTTTATTTTTCCCTAAATTTGACTGAGACATCATTTTAATTCATTATTAAGGTAATTCCACATCTTTTCTTAAAATAAGTGTGTTTTCCCTTAATCTGAGCAGATATACCAGTGGAAATAATATATTTCAAGATATTGTTTTTTTAAGACAATGTAAATTATCGTATTCCATTGGCAAAATGTCTCATTTAACTGATCAAGTCTAGAAAAAATGCACTTATTTTAATTGACTTATTTATATGTATTTCCTATGTCTTACACTTTGCCTTGTTTATTGTTTCATTGAGATATATTTAATTTCAATCAAACCATTTCTTTAACTAAATGATTTATCCATCTAGGAATTTATTCAATTGTTCATATCTTACCGTAAGCAAAATATATTTGTATCATATGCAAACATAAGTTTTAATATGTTTAAATTTGCAAATTTAATTTATGTGAAGTATAAATAACCAAGGCACAGGTTACTCTTCTTAAATGTGATTCTGTGTTACAAATGTTCACATGCTGAACCTTGTTATGTTGGTAGGGAGGTTTTTATCCATATTTTTCACATTTCTGCAATAATGAATGAGCAATAGTTTTAAATTATTTTTGTAAATCAGTAAAGATACCAACATTATATTGTTTTCTTCTCTATTGCTGTTGTAAAAAGTAAGTGCTACAGATATAAATTTATTACTTCTATAACTATACTGATGATCATCTAATAAACTATTTTTTCAGGACATACATCTGCAGGTTTTTCAACAAATAATTTTTCCAATATTTTAGGAAATTGTTTCCCCAAAGAAACTCGTCTGTAATTTGATCAGATCTGTAAAGTGATTAAATAACCCAAAAATAACAAATATTGAACTAAAATCAATATTTTATGTAAGTTGTTGTTTAACAGTGGTGATGACTGACTAATCAGTCAGCATTTCTTTAATCAAATCAGACTACCTTTTTCTCATCTCTGAGGAGTCATTTCTTAAAATTAGCTTTTTCTGTAATAAGATAATTGTGAGCCAGCTAGACATGGGGGCTTATTAAACCACAACTCCTTCAAGTTAATATCTGGCCATCCATAAAATTGATGCTTGCATAATCTTCTTCTCTGGAACAAATGAAATTTGTCAGTGTGAGCAACAGTTAGACAGACCATGTTTTATCCCTTTAATAAACGTCAGAATAAAATGTTTTCTGCAATTGTTTTTTGTTTTCATCATTTAACTTTTCTTTTCCATTAACTTGTTGTCTTTTTATCAGGTATGCATCAGCCGTGACAGATGGCTCACAGTATTTCATCCTTCTCATCATCTCGGACGGAGTGATCACTGACATGGCACAGACCAAAGAGTCCATAGTAAATGTAAATGTTGTTTTTTTTATTACATTTTGGAACAGAGATAGAAAACAAAGCGTGGAGAGTGTTTAAACCTAATGGGTTTTATAATATGTTATGTACTGAGTATTGTTCATTTTCTAAAGAAACGCTGCTTACGGTGCGTTCACACCTTTTTCAGCATCAGGGGGTCTGGTTTAAATGCAGAGTCTATGAATGTCCTTAAGTGTAGAGGCAGGATTTTAATGTTGGGAGCAGTCAGGAGAAGCACTGAAAAAATGTACAAATAAAAATACCATGTGAAAAGCATTTTCTGATTTCACATTTCAAATTAAATTATTAAAGAGGAATTGTAACTTGTATTTATTAGTCTATTATGAAATACTGTAATTTGAAAATTAGTTTCAAAGCCTGTTCCTAATTTAAGGTTTTAGAGCTACCATTTTTAGTAACTTTCTTTATCAGCATCCTTGATTTCCTTTTTCATCTTAATTTTTCAATTCCTTTTTGCGTTTTCTTTTTACTTAAACATCGCCATTTGTATTTAACATTTCCAAGTAATGGAAATTTGAAAAGACAAGGTGGAAACAATAATCACAGTAGAAAAAGTTTAACTTTTTTAATGTTTGATAAGGAGAAGTATTAATAATCAGATGCATTGTGTTTTTTTAGATCTTTATTCAGAAATAGTATATTAAAATAGAAGATTAATAAATACAATTTAGAAATAATTTGATTTAAAATGTGCAATTACAAAAAGAGCTTAAAATTCGACTTCTAAATGTATGAATTAAATGTTAAATTGGAAATGGTAGTATTTGGTGGCGGCTGATTGAGTTTTGTCCAGGGGGGCTACAAATTCAAAATAGACATATACCAAATAATGCATCTCCAAGTCTCACGACTCGACCTTTCAATCACCAGTAAAACATCAGCGCTGTGGCGGGAGTTGATAAACAAATGCACTTCCTGTCACATCAGGTCGCTGCTTAGATGCGCCCTGGGCCGTCCTATACATTTGTATTGCAGAGAAGCTACTGTGCATGTACAACATTTAACAAAAAGTAATTTTTGTAAACATTCTTGTGCCCTAGGGCGAAAGGAAATACGTCACCAATCCGACAAAAAATTAAATGATACTTTACTCATCATAAACATTGAATATTTATCTTGCACATCTAAAACATATATATATGTAAATATTTTGAAATATTACATTTTTATTTAAAATTAAATTATAAAAAATGTAAAAAAAAATGTATGTCTCAATCAGGGTCATTGGGTTGGTGGGGGCCACACCCTAGCACCCTATATTGGCCAGCTGCCACTGGTAGTATTTCTTTTTTAGTGACTAACCTAGTCCTCCATAGTTCAATTCTGATAAAGTGGTAAAACGGCACAGTTGGGAAATCTGAACTTTTCCAGCTGATGTGGAGCATCAACCAATTAGAAAAGCTGATCCAGGAGCTGCCTTAGAGAAAGACACTACATGCAAGCTGCTGCAGAGCTATTATCAAAACACTATAACAATGTAATATATATAAAGGGGTTAGAGTCAACAAGTCTCACCTAAAAAGCCAGGAGAATCAGTTCCTTATGCACAAGGAAAAGTGTGGGATATCTGGGGTCTTCTATATAAAGCTTTCATACTGACAAAACAGGTGACTTTAGTGCAAAGGTTGTGAATAAAATAAACAATAAACAGGTACACATATTTTTGAGAGAGGGGGAAATCAGTGACACAGATGGTGACTGAGGGGATCCTTGTTGCATCATATTTTCTCTTAATGAGAAGCTTAAGTAATAGATCTACTTTATCATATCCAAAAACACACTGTGATCTATGCTGGCACTGACAGGTCCTTTTACAAATATGAAAAAAGAAAGAAATTTATAATTTAAAATCACAGTACACACATGTGTAAACACTGAAAAAAATTATGCAACCGTTTTGTTTCATGTTAGCAGGGCAGGAGAGAAAGACATAATTTGGATGGGAAAGAGCGAGCCCATCCAAGCTAACATCCAGTATTGATGAGTTGAGCCATGTCTCTGTCAGAATCAGAACGCAGCAGTTCTTAGAGTCTTTTTGAAGAAAGTTCCAGTTGCAGATGATTTATTTTGTTTTCCACTGAGTGGACATTGGAGAGAAAGATTAAGGGAAGCGGCGGGCTGTAGGGGTTAGCTTTTCTAGCTGCTGTTAGACCACCCCGACATCTGTGCTTCAACCTTCATTCACACCACCTTCACTTCTTGCTGCTCCAAGTGCTCTTAAAGTCGTAGGGAAGTGGCTGTTCCGAACAGCGCATTCTCAAATTCTCCTTAGTGGTGCATGACTTTACACGATTGAATAAAGTGAATGTGATTGGTCGTTTATCAAGAGGGTGGGATTGTTGTGCCAGAAGGTTCGCAAGCAAGTTTGATTGTGGCCGGTTTGTCAGAATCATCTTGCTAACCAGTTAGCAACTTAGTGCTAGCAGGTTCCCAATGGGATATTCCATTGACCAAGCAGCACTAAACTGGTGACTTAGAAACGACACTGTCAAGGAAGGACATGGACAGCGGAAACATGCAAGAGGAGGAGAGTTTAGAGTCGGAGGTCATTGATGAGTCTCCTCTGTCAGGCATTTTTTATTTAGAGGAGGAAAGTGGGAACGAAGATGGTCTGGAAGAGGACGCCAGGGCGGCAGAAGCTTGGTTTGGTGTAGAAGGCTTACAGCCGTACATGTTTGAGCCCTTGCCTCACAACGCTGCCAGTTCTGTTAGCTCTACACCTGCAGAAGACACAGACGTCCATCCCTGTGAACACTGGGGCGGAACTCAATGGCACAGAAAATAAGTCTTATTTCAACGGTTGCGTATATTAGCTGCGATATATGAATCAAGATGCTATGACCGAAAAAATTTGAATGACAGATGACCGTTAATATATGATTGGCCGAATTTAGGTGTGCAGGCTGACCTATAACCAACTGGCCTGCATAAGATAACCAAAAAACCCACAGATTTTAAGACAGGATTTTTTTTTAAAACATTTGGGACAATATGGTCTAATTATTAATACATTTACATACATTTTTAAGCCAGAATGATTTGACTTTCAAATATGATTTTTCTTCACCTTAAGACGAGTCTGCTGCACTGTAGGCGTCTGGCTCCAAATCCCCATAAACATTCCAGAGTAGCCGTAACTCCAGACTGTAACTCCAGCAGATTGTCCACAGCATCTTTCTTTAAAATGCACAAGCATCCAAGATGACACACATTTGATGGGAACCATGATGGTTCCAACAGAAATGCTTCTTAACTGTTCACAGCAGAAAAAACACAACCTAAAAAGAAGGGATTTCATAAAAATAAAGTGTAAACAAAAAATATTTAAAGAAAACTGTTAGATTCATTATCTGTAAAACAATACTTAAATCAGGTATGAAAATTTTACAAAAGTTTAAAAAAACAATTGTGAGAAAACGGCAAAGTTACAAAGATTTTATTTATTAAATCCCTCTAAATGGGGAAAAAACACCTGATCAGAACCCCCATAATGATGTGGAAACATAATTCTATTAGATAAAGAAACATAAGCGGGATGAAACTGAGAACGCAACTGTGATCAACAATATCCAAAATCCATCACAATAAACCCTAAACATTACATGCTTAACATTTAAAAAGAGAGACATATTTTTCCTGCATTGCTTTCAAACTTCATTCGTCCTGTAAAGAAGAAAGAGTGGAAGAGATTCACATTAATCTGGGCAGCAGCCATCCATGTGAGTGCCATCGTGCTTCTAATACGCTATAAAATGAGTGAGGAACCCTGGAGGTTTTGCTATAATTAAGACTCCAACAAAGGTCCTGATAAACCAGCAAACACCCAGTATGAAAGGGAGACTATAAAAAGCAAAGCCTTCTCATGCTTCCTACACTCCGGCTCTTATCTGCACTAATTAGGGGAATGAGGGAGGAGCGATGGTCGCCTGGTCACCCCCACACCCCCCACCGCCTTCCTCGTTCCTGCTGCGTTCAGCTTTAATAACTGTAATGAGTTTGCTCCGATTTAATATGTGCAATGATTTCAGGTGATGTCAAACAACTGGAACCCCAGTAGCCCCAGTTGTTGCTCTAAATTGCCAAGCTTTGTGGAGCGTTTAGCCTCCTCTTCCTACCACATCCGGTATAATGCTGAGAATTTACACAAGCATGCTGTAAAGTAAGGTTTGATAGTAATTATTTACTTGCCTGTGGAGGTGCTGTGTCCCTCATTTCTCTGGCAATTTAAGGCCTCTGTAATAACTGGAGGAAGTTATGAAATTCTTACAAGCCTCCATTCATCACTCGTGGCTAAAACCCTGCTTTGTTGTCCCCACTTGGCTAAGATTTAATAAACAATATTGCAGTTCCAATTGGTATCCGACCGAGGCTGGGAGCAGAGGTGGATGCAAATTGGAATTGTTTCTGAGCCGACAAGCTTTGGGAGGTTTAGACAAGGTTGTAGATGCATGAAATTAAAAAACCTTGCTCAGCGACAGGTTTCAAAATACGCTCCGTGGATGGCAGACGGAATTGGACAACCTCCACCTGCCATAACAATAGGGATGACATTTTTTCGATAGGGCTTCTTTTCCTCTGTTTCATTTACAGTGCAGTTAGTAATTTGCAGGTGTGCCTCACTGACAGTCTACAAAGTTGAATTTGGCTAAAGGAGAAATTACTGAGACTTTCTGCCTTTGATCTCCCCTGCTTTGTTTTTTTTTTTCAGGCTGCGTCTCTGCCCATGTCCATTATAATAGTTGGAGTTGGACCAGCAGAATTTGATGGTAAGCAGTGTGAGGTGTCTGTGGGACTTATTAGCACACAATCACTTTGCTCCTCCTCCTATCTCACCTCCCACATGGTTCATCCTCTTCTACAACATAGCCTACCCATGCAAAAGTATTCACATCCCCAGAAAGCCTTTTTTTTTACATTTAGTCACATTGGAACCACAGTTTATAATGTTTATTATTACAATTTATTTACAATTATGATGCATGATCACATATTCAGCCCTACTCAGTCAGTTTTTTTAAGTCACTTTTAGGGCTTGTTAGGTTTTTTCCTGCTTTCTACATCTAAAGACTGAGTTTGTTTGCTCAGATGTCTTTGTGATTAAGCTATAGCTCAGTCAGATTGGATAGAAAGTGACTATTAACGTCAGTCAGGGTTACAGTTGCATTGACTTTATTATCTTTTATTATCATTGCAAGCAAAGAACATGTTTTGTAAATGGAAATCTGAAAAAAAATTGCAATCCAGATATGAAGCTTTTAAAAAAAAAAACTTCTTAATCCAAAAAAGGTTTTGGGATTAACTTTGCTGTTTTCTGTTTTTTATATTTTATTTTCAATATAACTGTAAAATAATGTTTTTTTCAGATTGAAGTTTAAATATAGCATTTTCTTCACATCCTTTTGCAAATCACATTCCCCTCAAGCCAAGTATAAGCGTTCGCTCTTGAACAATACAAATGTTTTATTTCTACTAGACCATGCACACCGATAGAAATGTATCTTCGTTCCTTACTCCAGAAGAAAGTCCGCCCCGAGAAGTGAAGAGAATGTAATCTGTAAAGCCAAATTTGAAAAGAATCAAATTTGTCAAACTAAATATGCAAAACATATGCTGATCAAAAATGTGCAAAGCACTGGGAGTAGCATATTCAAATGTAATTTCTTACCAAGCAATCATAAACTAACTGAGGTGGCCATTTGTGCATCTAGTTATTGTACCTTTCAAAGACAGTTGAAAAGTAGTACAGTGTCTGTGGTCATTGTGGCAAAAAGGAGGCACAGGCACAGAGATAGTGACGTAATCCTCTGTGGGTGAGAATCAGAAGTAAAAATAAGCCACAACCTATCGGTCTAACTATATGAAAAAGAAACATACAAAAATAAGACTTGAAAATATAAAATCACTAATCAAACATTTTAGATATGAAAAATTAAAGCTACAGTGTGTAATAATTACAGGGATATAAAGTCAGAAATTTAATATATTATACATAACT